ATCAGCATCTTGCTTTTGACAACAGCATATTAAGAAATTAAAATTAAAAACATACAACAGCCGGGATTCGCTGGTGGTCACCCACCCAACTACTAACCGGCCGGCGTGTGGCTTAAGTACGGCTGAGCGGACGGGAAGCCCTGTTTTCCACACCCTGTGGTCGTATGTACTGGATGCTTTATTGATGAGACTTATATCTGAAGAAACACTCCTTCCATTGTTACATGATGCTTTCGTTTCTACTGGCCGTAGGGCACTCGTGACACGTGACCATGTCCAGACGTCTCTAGGTACTCTGTCAATATCACTCATGATGGGAAGGGGGAATAGTTATGCTACAAGCATGCATCTACAAGACCTGGATTTAGCCAAGTGCTGTGTGCCTGTAGACTAAATCGTAGGATGTGTGTCGAGCTTCAGCATCTCCGCGATTCTACATATTTCTGCAGCGAGAGGGGTGGATATTGTCCCCCGAAATGCGGAATTCACGTTGATATACAAGGCAAGTCCAAGGTACTAACAGCCAGACCTATATTGTCAATCATCTCCGTGCCATTTACGCCCAAGAAACGCAACGTCAACTGTGAGCACACCACATGAAAAAACACAGGAAAATGTGAGTGGGTGTAGTCATATTGCGGGGGGTACTGGAACTCAGAAAGAAATGTGAATCCTGTAGGTTTGCGAATCTCTAGTTCCATGACATTTGGAATGATATATGCTGTTAGTTGGTGAACTGTGGTGCTTGTGGAAAGTTGTCCCGCAAGTCCATCATGCGATGCATGCAACAATTCAGAAGGGGTAATTGATTCCGCTGAGCTCTCAAACGAGACTCCGAGGTAGTTCGTGCGACAAATAAAAATACATTTTGAATGGCAATGAGGAATTCAGATTGCTCGATGCAGGCGTTTAAGCAAGGCGGATAGGTCTCTTGTCCTCAAGTAATTTCTCCATTGTATACCCGATATATTTTCCGTCTGTCTCAATGGCGCATCGAGGTGAGACTCTACACAACGAGGTGTCCTGCATAGCAGACCTCAAAGCTCTAGGAAGCAGTAAGCTTCCGAAGATGGTCAGAGGTGAGTAAGTCCAATCTGCTCGTGGATTCAACATCCCTTACAGTTTACAATAGACTACTACAACGAAGGCGCAATGGATCTAATAACATACATAATCAACCCCCTTATCGAGGATCCATTAGCTGAATATTCTTCAGATTGCGCGAGAATGAAACCGCCTTCAACCGCTACAAGATCCTTCCTCGCGTTCTGAGAATGTCGACCACGTCGATACAACCACGGAAATACTAGGAACCAAGGTTTCTCTTCCGTTTGGATTCAGCCCTGCTGCATCGCAAAAGCTAGCTCACTCAGATGGAGAACTAGCGGCATCGCGGGCTGCCGCAAAGTACGGTATCTGCATGGGACTCTCGTCGTATTCGAATTACTCTTTGGAGGATGTGGCTGCGCAGGGGACCGGGAACCCGTACGTGATGCAGATGTGTGTTTTGCGGGATCGATCAATAACAAAACAGTTGCTGGAGCGGGCTCAAAGTGAGTCTCTCGGGTTCCTGTCTGGCGTCGATACGTACTAATATGGAGCAGAGGCCGGATACAAGGCATTATTCCTCTCCGTCGATGTTCCTGTGCTCGGAAAGAGACTCAACGAATATCGGAATAGCTATACGCTTCCCGAAGACATGAACTGGCCAAACATCCTCAGTTGCGGCGCTGATACCTCACACCGTACAGACTATGGTAGGAGTTCCTATTCCCTATGGCTACCGCAGAAAGATAACCAAAACAGATCCAAGTCTTGACTGGGAAACCACAATCCCATGGCTCCGAAAACACACCTCGTTGCAGATATGGCTCAAAGGGAGTACGTCGTATTCCATCCCCCAAGACTCGGCATGCTTTGACTGACACAATCCGGAACAGTTTGCTCACCCGCAGACGTCGAACTGGCAATCCATTACGGTGTCGACGGGATCGTGATCTCCAACCACGGCGGTCGCCAGCTGGACGGAATTCCAGCTACGCTAGATGCGCTGAGACTCTGCGCCCCTATTGCACGGGGACGAATCCCGCTTGCGATCGACGGTGGCATCCGGCGAGGATCGGATATCTTTAAGGCTCTTGCACTTGGGGCCAGTTATTGTTTCGTGGGGAGAATTCCCATTTGGGGCCTTGCGGTAAGCTTTGTTCTCTGGCGTGTCGTTACGGTCGTTTCGGCTAATTACATTCAGTATAACGGCCAAGAGGGGGTTGAGTTGGCAATCAGGATTCTACGGCAAGAATTAAAGATAACCATGGCCCTCGCAGGGTGAGTCCTAAACAGCTTTGACTCATGTCCTTGACTAACGATCGCAGTTGCACATCTATTAGCGACATTAATGAGAGCTATCTGTCCGTTCTGAAATCGAATGGGCAGCTGGCAAGACTGTAGGGCAAGACAGCTGAGGTCATTAAGCATTCCTAGCATTCTCTTCTAGCGATACATGGTAGACAGTTCATCAGAATAGGGGATTTCTCATATCAAGCCATCCTTTGACTCCTTTATTTAATCTGCCTGTAGCTATGTTTTCGTTTGCCACTGTTGTGTCCCTATTTTCCGCCCGATTAGCGTTGTTAAAGTAGAATGTATATTGACTTACCTACCTCTGGACTTCACTGCTCCAAGTGTTTGAATCCCTCGAATCATATACCACCACTGGCCGTCCACTGGTTATCCCTCATGAATTGACCTAAATAACCAATCAGAATGTAGGAACTGAATTCGGAAGCACCTTCCAGAAAGGGCTTTGCACTTGTACCCGTCTACCCTTGCATCTGGTATCACATTAGGCATGCCGATCCGCATAACCCCTCTCACCTGTCTGAAGGCCTATATTAGAATCTCAGAGGCCATAAACTGTGAATCTCATCGTCCATCATACGACTACACATAGACGGGCAATCAGAACCATGGGAGAGCTCTTTGTCGATATTAAGACGCCAAATAACCACGCTTACCGACAGCCAACTGGCCTATTCATCGCCGGCGAAGTCGTGGCCGCGTCGAGCGGGCAAACTATCACTTCCATTGACCCTGCGTATGTGTGGAGCATCCTATCTGGACGCACGCATATCCGTCAATTTAACTGATGCATATGCAGCACTGATAAGCCCATCGCTACAGTCCACGCCGCCAGCGCCGAGGATGTAGATCGAGCTGTGAAGGCTGCCCGGGCCGCGCTGGTGCATCCATCCTGGAAACAACTTCCTGCTACCGACCGGGGGATACTGCTGGCTAAATTGGCCGATCTGATGGAACAAGAGCGGGAGTTACTTGCGTCGATCGATGCCTGGGATAATGGTATGCCCCTTTTCCAATGTCTTGGACCATATCTGACCGAAATAGGAAAACCATACCACGTAGCGCTGGAAGAGGACCTCACCGAGGCTATTACAACCATCCGTTACTACAGTGGCTGGGCTGATAAGATCGCGGGTCAGACCATCAGCACGACAAATAGCAAGTTCGCGTATACGATTCGTCAGCCGATTGGTGTCGTGGGACAGATCATCCCGTGGAACTACCCCTTGTCCATGGCTACCTGGAAACTAGGCCCTGCGTTAGCTTGTGGGAACACTGTTGTTTTGAAACCTGCTGAGCAGACACCTCTCAGCGCGCTTGTGCTTGCGGAGCTGATTAAGGAGGCTGGATTTCCTCCCGGGGTCGTGAATATTGTCAATGGGTACGGCAGAGAAGCCGGTGCTGCCCTGGCATCTCATCCGCTAGTCGATAAAATTGCTTTCACCGGCTCGACACAAACAGCAAGAGAGATCATGAAGATGGCAGCGGGAACATTGAAAGATATCACGCTCGAGACTGGTGGCAAGTCACCACTCCTCGTATTCCCAGACGCTGACATGGAGCAAGCCGCCAAATGGTCGCATTTCGGCATCATGTCGAACCAAGGCCAGATCTGCACGGCTACTTCCCGCATCTACGTACACCAGGATGTCTTTCCTTCTTTCTTGGAGAAATTCAAACAGGCGGTCGAGACTACGTCCAAGATCGGTGACCAGTGGGATGAATCTACGTTTCAGGGTCCACAGGTAACTCGAACACAGTATGAGCGTTTTCTCTCGCATATTGAGATGGCCAAGAAGGAGGGTGCCAAGGTGGTCATCGGCGGAGGTGCCTATGTCCCCAGCGGAGACAGGAACAAAGATGGATATTTTGTCCAGCCTACTGTTTTCACAGGTACCACAGACTCGATGGCTATCGTGCGGGAGGAGGTCTTTGGCCCTGTGGTGATTATCGAGCCATTCGCAACGGAAGAAGAAGCCATCCGTCGGGCCAACGATACCATATATGGCCTTGGGGCAGCCGTGTTTACAAAAGATCTGGAACGAGCGCATAGGGTTGCTGCAGAGATTGATTCGGGGATGGTCTGGATCAATAGTAGCCAGGACTGTGATCCTCGAGTGCCATTTGGGGGTGTCAAGCAGAGCGGCATTGGGCGGGAGCTTGGTGAGGCTGGTCTGGCAGCCTATAGTCGGATCAAGGCCGTACATGTCAACATGGGAAATAGGCTGTGATTGTTTGATGTTTCTTTGGGAATAGATTTACGTAGGGAGTGAGGAGCGATCTTTGTCCAAGACACACCCTAAAATCTCGATGCATCTATTGATCCATCGGGAACCAGATATGGTTTTGTGAAGAGTTTGTCCCGCTGAAGTCTGAGATGTACAGTCGCATCACATCATGGACTTGCCGTGGATCTCCTCGTAAAATCAGCATAAGTAGAAAACGTACAATGAAGGCCGGAGCTGATAGCGAAGAAACAGTTCTGTTATGAATTTCGAGAAGCCTAAGAGCTGGGCGCAATGTTACTATAATTCAAAGGAACACAACTCACTTACGAGTCCCTCTTGAGATGTGAAGCTTTTTTCATCTGCATCTACGGACTGCACAAAGCATCGATCCAAGCGTATGATTGCTTGTTAATCTCATATACCTAAAAGAGCCCCCTTCACACCTTCCCCGCGCAAATGTATTCTGAGCAATCTGGTCTCATTGCAAGCATATAAGACTCCATTCTCTCCGAAGCAGAAATTCGCAACTCCACCAGCAACTTTAATCGTACCGATAAGGACACCGCTAGGATTCCACACTTCAATCCCATCCCCGCATCCAGCGTAGACATTGCCCCGGGTATCGCACTTGATTCCGTCAGGTACTTTTCCGGGGGCATACGCGAATACACGCCGGTTTACCAACTGCGGTTCGGCCCGCCCTCCAGGGTAGACAATATCAAATGCATAGATATGCGACGGCCCTGCTGGATTGTTTGGCACTAATGGTGAGCCATGGATCGCACCTGTATCTGTCACATAGAGTGTGTCGAGGCCGGGCGAGAAGCAGAGACCGTTTGGCCGTACGAAACCGTCTGCGACAGCGCGAATCAATCCGTTACCGGGATCATAACGGTAGACTTGGTTCGGGAGCTGCGGTTGAAGTCTGATGCCCTGGTGGAAGCCATACTGAGGGTCTGTAAACCAGATGGAGGAGTCAAGCGAATGAACGACCACGTCGTTGACTGAATTAAATGGAATCCCGTGGAAAGAGCCGATGACGACCTCTGATGTAGTGACATTGCTACCCTCAGATGGAACCGCGACTTTGATGATACCCGAGGGATCACTTGGGTCTTTTGATCCTTGAGCACAGAAGAGGATGTGATCAGGGCCCAGATTAACACCGCCATTCAGCATGGCGCCGTCGATCTGTGGAAAGGTGATGTCCTCGACTTTGGCGACATTTGATTCTGTGGAAGATCCTTGGTACGTATCATAAACTCGGGAGAGCTTGATATGCTTGTCTTCTGTTGCTAGGTTTTGTTGGTTGGGAGGATTTGGAATCTGGTTGGAGGTCACGAAGATGCTGCGTGTCGGTGGATGATAGACGCAAGCTTCGTGATAGAGAGGTAATCCTGCAGGACTCTCGTCTGCGAGTATTGAAACGTGTGGTTCTGGGAAATCGGAGCCCAGTATTGCGTCAAACTCTTCCTGATGTTTAAGGAAGGCAACCTGGTCCTGGATGCCGGCCATCGTGAATGAGTTGGTGTATGGCTGTGCTCCAAGCGTATGTTCTTGCCTGCGCAGTATTCAGTGAGAATAGTCAAAAGCTTGTCCGGAGCAGCTCATGTGGCGAGTGCTTTGAGGATTGCGTAGGCTGAACCAAACCGAGGCTTTAATGGCGTTTTGAAATCTTTGTTCGAGCTCAAATCCAGTTTCAGTAGCGGACCATGCAAAATGGGAAGATTCTATTGCCGATCCCAGACCTCTTAGACTCCTGGGTGGACTATCGACAAGAAGAAAAGTGTTATTGGAGGAACCGGTGATCCTGATCCTGAAGGATCAGACAGAACTTTTGAGTCCCCACGGGCACGGGTATTCCCGTGTTACCCCGCGCGGGAACATCCAAAGGCTCCGATCAGCATCAGTGGACGAGCACCCTTGCCTGCAAGGGAGCATTCATAGCTGTTGATTGTTGCCGGCAAGGGTTTGGGATATATAGCCAAGGTCACACATGGAAAGAAGAAGATATTTTCCATTTCACCCCTACGCCGATTCCTCCATCTTCTCAATTCTCCTCATAGTACATAGCATATCATTATGAAGCTACAGGGGAATACCCTACTTGGGGCCGTGACGGCATCGACCACACTTGGTTTCATGCAGATAGGGCCAGCAGGCATGCGCTCATTGCACTCATTCAAAAATAGTTAATCAGGCATAGATATGACAACGGGGTCATGGGAGGTCTTGTGAACCAAACTGCTTTCAATGACACGTTTGACTCGCCAGATTCGACAATGATCGGCGTTATTGTTTCTTTGATGGAGATCGGTGCATTCCTAGGAAGCGTGAGCTCTGCTTTCTTCGGGGAAAGAATCGGACGAAGAAAAAGCATCGCCGTTGGGGTCGTCATTTTAATCCTTGGAGCCCTGTTGCAAGCTACCGCGTACCATCGCTCTCATCTCATCGTCGGCCGGGTTGTCTCAGGAGTTGGTCTTGGGGTAGTAAACTCAACTGTACCCGTGATGCAGGTGGAATTCTCACCGAAGGCTACCAGAGGCCTATACGTCTGCATGCAACTGTCAACGGTTCATTTCGGAATTCTTGTGGCTGATTGGATTGACTACGGTTCCTCTACGCACACAGGCAGCTATGCCTGGCGAGTTCCTGTAATTCTTCAGTGTACTTTCCCATTCCTGATGCTTTTCTTCGTGTTCCTGATGGATGAAACTGCTCCATGGTTTGCAGCCCACAACCGCCAAGACCAGGACCTGCAGGTTCTCCGCCAGCTCTATAATGACAACATGCACGAGAGCGATATTACGGCCCTACACGAGGGTATTCCCCGCAAGTTGCTCTCGAAAAAGCGGTGGGCGCAGGGTCGTGGAAGGACCTTCTGCGGAATGATGAGATACAGAGCCAAAGACGGTTTCTCATTGCTTACGCGATACTTATTTTCCAACCGCTTGGTGGAATCAATGCAATTATATACTACTCTGCGACCCTGTTCGAGGAGTCGGTGGGATTCTCAAAATACATGTCGGCCTTGACGTCGGGCTTCCTGCAGACATGGTTCTTCGTCGCATCTTTTAACCCTTGGTTCCTTATCGACCGCGTAGGCCGACACCCACTGCTCCTATCTATGATCTCGCTCATGGCTGCTGTCATGGCCTGCGTCACGTTGAGGAGGCGAGGACTTAGGATGTAATCGAGCCTATATAGATGCGGCAATAGCATGCAATGCTCATAGGATCAATCCTTCACACGTTTGTTAGCGGAGAAATATGCACCAGGCTAGAAAGAGGTCTCTTTGTTTAGTAAGATACCGAGGACTGCCACAACCATAACCATAACCATAACTATCCGTGTGGTGCAATTCCGCCGCCAGATGAATCTCGGCATCGGAAGCAGAGATTCACGCCGATCCCGATGTCTTGGCACCGGAGGAACCGAAGGGGCGGACTTGTTGCTGTTTTTGGGCAGATCCCGAGCCGAGGTATCTTCAACATCTTCCCAACACAACTACCTCTCGTAGATGATTGGTCGAATTGGCAGTTTCGCTGGGATTTTTCTAGAATTCAAGATCACTAATCAGATAAGATATGGGTCGAGGAAAATTTACATTATGACGATATCTTCCTCTTTTTCCATTTCTCTTCTATCTGTGTTCTGCGCATTGTCATACTAAAGTGTAATCGGTCGAGGGAGTAAGACAAGATGGAATCCATACTATCATTAGCCAGCTCGCTCTGGCAGTCTCTCACCTTCTGGAAAGCCCTCGCAATCGGGTTCGCATTGCTAAACCTCAAAACCCTGCCTTTCGTGTGGCATGTAAGACACTCACCACCCTCTTGTTTCTGCGTATACTAAAAACAACCAGATCCGCGTCTACCGCTACTTCTTCCAAAATGGCTACCTCATGACCCCCGCCGTCGAGCAACCGCCAAAACCCAGCAGCGACCTCATAAAACCAAAAAGCATCTTCACCCGCGCCCCAATCATGGAAATCGACATGAACATGCACAAGTCCAACTCGACGTACTTCTCCGACCTGGACGTCTCCCGAACAGCACTCATGAGTTCCCTGGTAATGAAGGGCTCCGCATTCCTCGAGAAACGCCTTCAGAAGCAGGGCAAGCGCGGCCCACTTCACTTCGTTCTTGGCGGCGTCTACACGAGCTTCAAGCGCGAGATTCCGGCGTACATGAAGTACGAGGTTCAGTCGCATATCGCCTCTTATGATGAGAAGTGGATCTACATCGTGACCTATTTCTTGCAGCCGCGCAAGGGAAAGAAGGCTTCGGCCGAGACGGACGAGGTTCGAAGGAAGAGGCTGCTTGCCATTTCGATTAGCAAGTATGTGCTCAAGAAGGGGAGGTATACTGTTCCTCCTAATGATGCGTTTGAGGCGGCTGGGTATAGGCCTTTGAGTGCGCCTGCGGCGAATGGTACTGCTAATGGCACTGCGAATGAGAATGGATCGCTCACTCAGCGCAAGGAGATCAAGTCTGGCCATACTTGGGATGACAACAGTGAGTGGGAGCAATTGCAGAAGGAGATTCGCAAAGGGAAGGAAATGGTTCAACCATTCGTCGACCAGGAGGAGAAGCTGTTGGATGATTACATGGAGAAGATGAAACTCCCTGCGTTTGCATAGACTGCGATCAACGGTCGAGATACACTGAGCGTTGAATTTATGTCCTTAGGACAGGATGTTATAGATGTGTACCATATTTTGCATAGATATAGATTTCCTTTGACGAGTATAATGGTTAAACTTGATTAGAGTTACATCCTTGGAAGTGCACCTACAAAATATATCAAGGAGGCAACCAAAAATCCTGGCCTCTGAAAACAACTCCAGCCTACTAAAAAGAGCCGTCCCTAAAAGCATTACAAAAGGAACGCATCGAAGGATCATATAGTAGGATATTGAACCACTATATTATGGATATTACCTGTTTATAAAGTATGGATTAAATATTTACAAAAGTCTGCTATGCGCACTGCTGCACGTCTTCTCCTGTGATTGCTGCTGTCTCTGCAGTCCTGGTGGAAAGCGCAGCATAACTTGGGAAGCATAAAGCCCTTCATTTGCTATTGGTTCAGGTGCAGACACCGCCAGTCTGATGGGCAGCCGTGGCAACATGCTGTTGCAAAATGCTGCCCCTAAAACGAGATTGAGATTACCAAGGTCTATGGATCTCTCATCATTAAAACGCTCTTGTAGACACCCGCAGATGGGTTATCATTAGGTGGATCGGTCTCTGACCAGCAGGACCTCATCAGCTGCTCTATACTATATCTCTAAACGTTGAACCCACCCCCAGGATGCCCCTCTCTGACGCATTTACCCATTGTCTCAGCCTCCACTTTCTCCAGCGACACCACCAGGAATATTCCGCCATCAGATCCACTCCCGAAGCGATGGCGACTCGCTGTCCTTCGCTCAGCGGAGCATACTCTTCCCCGTAATAAGTTTGCCAGAGCCTCACCGCGTCCTCGGCGTCCTGTTTTCGTTTGTTGAGACGGGAACGCATACTGGAGCAATGGACCTTGTAGGCAAGAAGGTCCAACGGGTGGACAAAAGGCAGATGGCCTCTGTCCACTTCTTCCAGCGCCATTGCCTGCGCAGGCAGGTATGGAGGCTGTCGTCGATCGCGTTAGTTTGACTTCATCTATCTGACCAGGGCACGCAAACGTACCAAATAGTCTGGAATAATGTCCACCTGCACTACGTGCGAATGTTTGGCCTTACGTCTGTTCTTAAGCTCGTCCGTACGTTTGTATTTGAAGAACAGAGGCTCTGTGCGCTCCTTGAACAAACCTGAAAACCGGGAGACCAGCTCCTTGCGCATCAATTGGTAGTCAATGGGACGGTCAGGCCTGAAAAGTAGAACATCCACATCCTGCATGCCCTCGTCAGCACGATTTGGTAGATCTGGTTCTTCAGTCCACTCACCGAGGTTCGCCGGTAGTCTGTCAATAATGTTGGACTGCCATCCCACCGACAATTGCAACCTTAGCTCCCTGCAGTTCTGGCATTGTCCGGAGGCACTGAATGAGCGTCTCTGCTGCACTTTCGAGTGCGGCGTCAAGGACATCGTCAGGCAGGTAAGTCGTCTTCATCTTGAGGGTTGTTTGTTTCCGGGATACTGCTTGTAAAGCAAGACTCAGAGACGGGATAAAATGAAGTTGATACTGACCGAGCCTGTGAAGAGGGAAATGGACCCTGTTATTAATGGTCATCTGCCTAGTTCAAGAACCACTACATCTTGCGATGGATGTTCACTTTGAAACATGGTTAAGAATACACACAGAGGCACAGCAGATATACAAAGATCTTTCTTTTTTAATCCTTTATTAACGTTATATAGAGCATACAGTTTGTCTTAGTTCTGGTGGACATGGGGAGGTGTTGTGAACCATCCTGATACAAGACATTTTTGGAAGCATTCATTATGCCACAATCACTGTAATTGGTCTCAGGCGAAACTTCTCCTAACGTCACGGGACAAGGTAAACAACATCATTGATAGACTTAATGGATAAGCAAGTTGAACATACATATGCTCAGAATATGGAAATCAGCAACAATAAGTAAATAAGCAAAGGACAGACGCAAAACAGCTGCAAAGCTCATCCATCATTCAATCATGCCTTCTGCTCCTCTTTCACCTCTTCTTTGTTCTTCCTCGTCTGCTCTTCCTCCTCCTCCTTCTTTCTCCTCTCCTCTTCCTCCTCCTCCCACCGTTTAAGGTCTTCACGCCAAGTAGGGGGCATTGTACGTTGGGACGGCCAGGGACTTTTTTCGGGCACCTCGCCCGACTTCCTCATCTCCGCGCCAAACCTGTCCTCGGCATCCCCATGCGTTCTTTCCTGTAAGTTTTCGGTCAGAATTTTGAACCAGCTGCGAGTACGAGGCGGAAGGTCGCTCAGTTTAAAGAGGCGGTGCTCCTCCAGCACTACCTGCATGTCCAACAGCAATAAATCCCAGAAGCTCCCTCTGAAAGTCTCTTCCGGATAATTATCCCGGAAGTACAGAAGGGTCAGCGACTCGGCATAGCGCGCTGGCGAGAGGATCTTGACTGGATAATCCGCATCAACCACGCGGCCTTGCCAGAGTCCTCTGGGGGCTTCTGGAGGACGCTCATCATTGATCGTCCAGTAGTCTGGGTTGTTCGGGGCCGGTGGGCCGAGTGGGATCTCGGGCGCTCCCCACAGCAGCTCGGACTTCTTGTAGAGTTCCAGTGTATACCATTCACGGGGATTTGGGCCGTATAACTCGCGTCTATAGCAGTTCAAGGGACCGCGGTCCACAATGTTGAAGTGCGCGTAGGGGATCCCATGGAAGGACTTGGGCCAGTCAAAGCCGCAATACTTCCCCAGCTGGCAGGGAGGAAAGCCGGCTTCCACCAGGAGGTCGCGAGCTTTGTCGATATGTTCATCGGGGATGACGAAGTAGATGCCCTGTTGTAGTTGTTGTCTGGTGGTTAGCTCCTCCGACTGTAGTTTGTGGTGCCTCAGGGGAATTGGGGGACTTACGTCTGACACGACGGGAATAAGAAACATATTCATCACGAGCTCTCCCCAGAGCACATTAGGAATCCCATGGGCATCCAGAAAGCGAGAGATCTTGCATGGGTAGGTCCGGTATGTCATGTCGACACGGTCCTCTTTACGGTATCGGAGGTCAGCCATCTTGAGCGTATGAATCAGTTGTGCATGATGTTGAGACCAACGTGTCCTGGCCGACAAATGTCGCTATATATATGAAGACTTGAACCTTAGTCTCGTGTATTGACAGTTGATGCACAATGATCTTCCCGACAGGAAGCAAGGGAATGTCTGTTTCAAGATGGAGTAAAGGACCGGCTCCTTCAATCAATCCTCGAGGTGATTTCCTTGAAACCGATATCTCGGAACCATGGTACAAGACAAGCCCGTCTGGAAATATGAAAGAGCGCTAGAATTAGAAGATTCCTCAACCGTCGAGTCTTACTGTGTATACTCGATAACAAAGCACCGCCCAGACTTATCAACAAAGAAACGCCGCGGCTGAGAAAACCACCTACTTTGATAAAGTCGAGAGAACTCTCCGCGCTTTGTCAGTGATCCAGCCGAAGGAAAAAAAGAGGATCAAACTTCGAAGAGAACGTGATGTAGCGCCGTATCGTTCTTTGTCTTCAGATCAAGCGAGCTCCTCGAGAGCGAGCCGCCACTCGATGAGAAGGACCAGAAGATGACCTCTTTCTCATGTACGATGACCCTCAGGTAAGCCTACCACGACAGCATGGCTGATTTTTGCTGATTAAAGAAATGGCTTGTTTAACCGGATCTGTGTCTGACTGGAGGCTTACGGTCATCACATTCGGCTGAATGAGCACCGTGTCTAAACGGCGGTCCTGAGCGGCCCCTTGATAGTCATCTGGCCTTCAACAGGCGATGCGGGAGCGTCCACTTCCTTCAATGCGGTTACGCATCTTTTCAGACATGTGGGAACATTTATGTTGCTCCCGCATCTAGGAGAAGGCGTAAGTGGGTTAAGGTTATGTCCGCAATTGGATGCTGTGGTCTGAAATGCTATTCTTCCATAGAATAGCGGAACCGGCGGGTTGAGCATCGGAACAGGCTGCCAGGAGTATGTTTGCCGCTTCTGCTGCAGTCTGGAGCGGCGTGCGCCCTCTAGGCTACTCCAATCTCCGGAAGGTATTCTATAACTTCATACATATTAGGTGTGAAGCCTTGCAAAGCTCCTCTTTAGATGGCGCCAATATCGTGAGGCATCGTCTTGCATACGCCTGTGACCAAATCCGTCGTCTTAGCATGGAACAAGAGGAGCATACCCTTCACAATTTTGCCGAAACTCTTTTTACGCCCCTGGGGGATCATTTCGTTACCAGCGTTAGCATCTTTAGAGGGACCTTAGCCGCTCCATCATAGATGAATACACGAGTGGTGCTAGCATATACAATGTCCTAAATGTTGTTTGGAATGAGCCATTACAAAATAGGTTCCCAGTGGCTGAACTTCGTTGCATTCCCGTATGCACCTATCTTGACTCTTCACAATCCGTATTGCAATGTCCACACCGAATCTCAAAGTTATCCAACAATGCTGCGTTTGTGTCCGAAGCTCGCTGTCTCAGTGCTATATCGCTAGCTATTGGGAGGATTTAAGTATCCGTGCTCTATCTAGCCCAAGCTGAACATGAGTATCTCTTCTCTTTCTTCTACGGCTATCCCAGTGTTCTGGATGCTCGTGTACGATACTGGCTTTCCCTATGTAGTTTGGCTTGCTCACTGAGACCTAGATAGAAAACTGCAGGGCTTGATGAAGTCCACCGTCCGTCATCTCATCTCTCCGGCTGAGTACCAATCGACACCATGGCTGCGTTCTCACAATTGCCCACTCCAGCATTACTTTTAGTCGTATGTCGACTGGCGATCGAATTCCTCCCAAGCAAATCTGCAGGCGTATAGCTTGGAGAACGTCATTACTACCGTCAAAACACCGGCTCTGGAGATGGAGCTGCACGGCCCTGGTCCAGTATATATAATTTATCTGGACCATGAGCCGTCAAAGTCATTTGCAGATCATTCAACCCAATGACATGTTGGCGTGCCTGAACCCTCTTACAATGACTATTCCTGGGATTTTCTTCTATTGCGATCGAACTTTGAAATCTAGACGTCGGTATCATGTGAGAGTGTCCATACAAGAATGTATTGATCCACTGTTGGCTCATATCCTAATTTGGGTTTATGCTCGATATCACACTCCCATGTTCTTTGACTTGAACAGTATCAGGATGTTCCTTTTGGGAAAAAAGGAAGTGTCTGTAGCTAATTGCTACCATGGGTCGCCCGAATGATGTGTTGCTTTGGCAAAGGCCCCGAGACTTCTTCTTTGCGGCATTGAGGTTTTTGAAAGACATATCTCCCTTAGTTGTATTTCCCTCTTTCCTTGGCTGAACAAAGAACATAATGAATTGTTTAAATGTTTCATTATCAACTCCCTGTCTCTGGTACCTGTTAACCAGCATAATGCCCCTGCAAAGAACTTGTAAGAAACTCCATATCCCTTGTCTCTAAGCCTTCGTACTGCAGAGAAACATCTTACTTCACCATGGGTCTATCAGAGACTGTCTTTCACAATGGCTTTCACAATAGTGAATATTGTCTCTCTTGTCTGATTCATTTGAGGCCTCTTTGTTCCTCTGCTAGATTCAAATATCGCGATAAATCTCTGAGACTACAGCTTCATCAACACTATCAACTGCTACTCCAAGTTGAAGCAACACATCTCACTCCTCAGACAAACTCCCAATCAACGCTTCAACAATGTACGGACTCCTTGCCTTTATTACACTACCTTGGGTAATTGCTCACCCTCGGTTATTCATGGTAGCAGCAGCTGCCGCTGCATACTTCATGCACTCGACCGGCCGGACCCTTCAGGACGTACACGCGGACATAACCTCCCGGGTAGCTGGCATTCTACCCGAAGACCTTCGAAGAGATGACGTTTTCTGCGACCCAATGACGGTCGTCTTTCTTCACCTGTTCGTCTTCCGGTATTTGCGTCTCCTCGTCCATCTTATCTCCTTCTGGCTCTTCTACCATCCTACCCCTGTCCCCAAAAACCCTACCCTTTTCCCATCTGACTGCACAATCATCCTCCCCACCGTTGATCCCGAGAACAGAGACTTTGAAGAGTGTATCATCTCATGCCTTCGGAACAAACCAGGTGCCATCATCATTGTTACTGTTGGAGACCAACTGACGAAACTGACCAAAGACATCATCGCCCCCTACAAGCGGAGATTCCCGAGTACCGAGATCTCTGTCAGAACCGCCGACGAAGCAAACAAGCGCCGACAGGTCGCGCATGGCCTTCGATAAGTCAAGACGAAGATCACCGTCCTGCTCGATGACCACGTCTTCTGGCCCACCGAACGCTTCCTCCCGACCATCCTGGCGCCGTTCGAAGACCCGAAGGTGGGCATCGTCGGAACGAACAAGCGCGTCCGCCGTACCAACACGGGGTTCAACATCAGATCGTTCTGGAACATGCTTGGTGCGCTATACCTGGAACGACACAACTTTGAGATCCGTGCCACTAACGCGATTGATAATGGCGTGTTTGTCGTTTCCGGCCGCACGTCTGCGCATCGGTCCGAGATCCTCAAGAATCCCGAGTTCATGGCCGAGTTCACGAACGAGAGATTCTTCTTCGGGTTGTTTGGTCCCCTGAACGCGGACGATGACAACTTCATCACCCGCTGGGATGTCCGGCACGGGTGGAAGGTCAAGATCCAGTACTGCCCCGACGCAATGATCGAGACGACCCTGGGTACGTATCCCAAGTTCCTCTCTCAGTGCCTGCGCTGGGTCAGAACGACCTGGCGCAGTAATTCCGCCAGCTTGTTCACTGACAGGACGGTCTGGTATACCCAGCCATGGTGCGTGTACGCCGTCTACTGGACCTCGTTCGTCAATTTTGCCCTGTTCTACGACGGTGCGTTGGCGTATACCCTGCTCAAAAGCCCGCTCGGAACCGCCGATAACCTGAAATATCTCGCGGCCTGGATCTTCTGCACGAAGATGGTCAAGCTAACGCCGTACTTTCTCCGCGAGCCCCAGGATCTCGTCATGCTGCCGGGCTATTTTGCCTTTGCCTACTTCCACAGTCTGATTAAGCTGTATGCGGGGTTGACCTTCTGGGAGACTAACTGGGGAGGCAGGAACCTGTCGGCCGTCAATAACCAACCTGGTGGCGGCCCCGATGACGACGACGACGCTGACGACAGCAGCGACGATAGTGTCGACGGCGGCGTGCAGCTTCCGCCTACTCCGCCTTCATTACGCCGGAGACAGACAGCCGGTAGTTCCAGCGCGGGCCGCGGAGGTAATGCTTCGGGATCTAATCGCGTACAGTCTAGGACTTCCACCGTCGGCACCAAGGCACCACGGAAAACGCAGGCTCAACCTAGGACTAGAGTGTCGTCTTCAAGCACGTCGAGCACATCAAGCAGCACCTCGTCGAAATGGCAGCGATGTCCCGGTTGTCGGAAGTTGCATTCTGATTCGGGTACTGTGTGCCAAGTCAGGGATGTATGGGGTCGATAACGAGGGCTGACAGGAAGCTGGTGAGTCACTGAGTCCTCTCTTAATCAGAAAATGGCGCCATCTTGCTTTACCGTTGTTTTTAGCATGGAGTTACAGGAAGTTTGCATCACAGATAAACTTGATATTTCCGCGTAATGTGCATCAGCAATTGAGTGTCGCCGCCCCATCTAGAAGGTAGATCCTCAGGCTAGTTATCGGCAGAAAATGCCTTGGAACTCTCACTATAATTGACATTGTAGGTGTGAAACTAGAAGCAAGACCATATGGCCGCGCTAACTAGGACGAGTTTTGTAAACAAATTGAAGAACTTAGATGACACAGACTCAATGGGAAATCCGCAAAACTCAGACAGGGATGAGGAATCAATCCAATAGGCGCTGGTATCATCTCGCCTCTCTGTATTTAGCCGGGAATGAGCTGCAATATCGTCCTTGTCTCAGTTTTGCCACCAATCACGGCGGATATGCGGGAGAGCAGCAGTCTTCTCCGCATAAAAACTCATTTAGTCTGCGGGGGAATCCGTATTGCCCAGAAGCTAATCTGGAGAACAGTTTGGCCGCGGACGACGTACCTTTTTCCTCGTGGATCAAACCAGCACGGACAGGCGGACCGGAAGCCGTGTGATTTCGCGATGTGGGTGTCTCCTATAGTCAATTCCCGGCGGAGTGATCGATCCATTGCATATATGCACTGCGGTCTCTCCGCTATAATGCAATGTCAAGGATCAAGCTATCACCATCATGAAATTCTGGCTCCAACAGCTAGGGCTGGCGGTACTCTGCGCATCGAGTGCCGCCGCACGCACTGCCGAACATGCGTACGAGTTCAAATCTGTCGCGATCACAGGAGGAGGCTACATCACTGGCATTGTGGGCCACCCGGCCGAAAAGAACCTACTATACGCCCGTACCGACATCGGCAGCACCTATCGCTGGGAACAGGAGCTGAACAAATGGATTCCACTCACCGATTTCCTTGGCCCCGAGGACGAGAACCTGCTCGGGACGGAGAGCGTGGCTATGGATCCGACTGATCCAAATCGTCTTTATTTAGCGCAAGGCCGGTACCTGAGTTCCAATAACTCTGCATTCTTCGTGTCGAATGACCGAGGAGCGACTTTTACGCGATACCGCGCACCCTTCCCGATGGGCGCGAATGAGTTGGGTCGGAATAATGGGGAGAGACTCGCGGTTAACCCGTTCAAGCCGAATGAGCTGTGGATGGGGACTCGCAACGCTGGGTTGATGAAGAGTAGTGACCGCGCGAAGACGTGGACGAATGTGACGAACTTCCCTGATGCGGCGGCCAACGGGATTGGAATCACGTTTGTTATTTTCGATCCGCAGCATGAGGGGACGATCTACGTGGGCGCTTGCATTCCTGGCGGATTATACTATACGACCGACGGAGGAAAGAACTGGGAGTCCATTCCAGGGCAGCCGATGCAATGGGACCCGTCTTTGCTGGTCTATCCCAACGAGACGCAGCCGCAGAGCGCAGGGCCCCAGCCGATGAAGGCGGTATTGGCGTCTAACGGAGCGCTGTACGTCACCTATGCGGATTACCCTGGGCCATGGGGAGTGGCCTATGGCGCGGTGCATGTCTACAACACGACAGCATCCATCTGGACGGACATAACGCCTAATGCTAACAATACATCTCCCAAACCGTATACCCCCCAGGCATTCCCGGCAGGCGGATACTGCGGTCTGAGCGTCGCACCAGACGACCCAGATACCGTCGTTGTGGTGTCGCTTGACCGCGACCCGGGCCCAGCGCTGGATAGCATGTACCTCTCCCGCGACGGAGGCAAGACCTGGAAAGACGTGTCGCAGCTATCTACCCCACCAGGGAGCGGAGGATACTGGGGCCATCCCATCGCCGAAGCAGCACTTTCCAACGGAACAACGGTCCCCTGGCTGAGCTTCAACTGGGGCCCTCAGTGGGGCGGATACGGCGCCCCGTCCCCCGTCAAGGGATTGACCAAGTTCGGCTGGTGGATGACAGCCGTGCTCATCGACCCGAGCAACCCTGACCATGTCCTATACGGAACCGGCGCGACGATCTGGGCGACCGATACCATTGCCCAGGCTGACAAGAATTTAGCACCGAAATGGTACATCCAGGCCCAAGGGATCGAGGAAACCGTCACGCTGGCGATGATCAGTCCCCGGGAGGGCGCGCATCTCCTCAGCGGAGCGGGCGACATCAACGGATTCCGGCACGATGATCTCGACACCCCGCAGCCGATGTTCGGCCTCCCTGTGTTCTCGAACCTGAATACCCTCGACTGGGCCGGACAGCGACCGGAGGTGATTGTCCGCGGTGGGCCATGCGGGCATCAGTATCCGGATGGATGCGGCCAGGCGGCTTATTCGACGGACGGAGGGAGCGAGTGGACCAAGTTCCAAACATGCATCAAGGGTGTGAACACCAGTGTACACAACCCAGGCGTTATGACTATCGATGCCTCTGGGAAGTACGTCGTCTGGACATCCGCTATGTACGTCGTCTCGCCATCTGTGCAGGCTGTGACCCCGCCAGCGAACGACTCCGGTCCGTACGCCTCGAGCGACTGGGGCAAGACCTGGACATCGCCTCGCGGGCTGACTGTGCAGACGCCATACATTAGCGCCGATCGTGTACAGCCGAAGACATTCTACGCTTTCTCCGGCGGCGTTTGGTACGTCAGCACGGACGGCGGCCTCTCATATGATGCTTTCAATGCAACAAAGCTGGGATTGCCTGCGCACACCGGCGCTGTCCCCGTTGTGAGTGTCGACAGGGCAGGCGAGATCTGGCTAGCGCTGGGGAGCAACGGAGTCTATCATACTACGGACTTTGGGAAGCGCTGGAAACGCATCACCCACAAGGGAACAGTTGCTGACTTGATCACCGTGGGTGCAGCTGCTCCTGGGTCTACGAAGCCGGCACTGTTTATTCGAGGCTCGCCTGGTCATCCGAAGAAGAGTGATTATGGGATCTATCGGTCAGATGATAACGGGTCAACATGGGACCGGGTTGATGATGACGACCATCGGTATGGAGGGTTCAATCTCATCCAGGGAGACCCTCGGGTGTATGGACGGGTGTATCTGGGTACAGGCGGTCGTGGTCTTCTCTACGCAGATATTGTACCGGGGCAATCGGACAAGGAGGGGAATGTACCAGGAACAGGAGGTATTTGATTAGCCATGCTAGACAATGCTCTAAATGACATGAAACTCGCTCCCCCCCTTTCGAGTAGCGGACTGACGTCCACCAGGTCAAGGAAAACATCCCGTAGGTAAAAACCTTGGCCAGGGCGCGGTAACTACAAGTTCAACTCCATAAATGCTTGTATTCAAACGCGAAGGCCACGGAGAACACATCCCAAACTCAAGCCACCACAGAAGCCATCAGAAGTTCAAGACTGCGATTCAGAGGGTTGAGGGAGTCCGAGCTCGGCTGGTGCGCTGATGATCTTGTCATCCTTGTCCTTGCGCATGGTCCGAAGCTTCACTGACTGTGCAACTTCGGCGATGGGTGTCACGAGGCCGGCGGTAACATAAAAGTGTTCATCATCGGAGGGTCCGGATTTGCCGCTGAAGCCAGAATAGACAAGACCGCAGACTTTTCCGTCTGTATCAACAACAAGTGATCCAGAATCACCATCCTCAACAAATGAGGCTTGCGTGTGTTCAGTCGTGTTTAGTCTGCGACTCATAATGATGTATTCCTCAGTCGTAGTTACTGACAGGTCATTCTTGTTGCCAATATGGTCGTATCTAATGCAGTCTTTCCAGCGACAAATCGCCAGCGTGCCATGGCAAACGCCCGTAGTGACTCCCGTCGTGCGCCCCATCTTGAAGTACACATCACCTTTCACGAGCGGGCCAAAGTCTGTTAGAGGCTCGCCCGCAGACGGCGCAAGGTATACCCCAGCAGGCCCAGCTTTGTATCGGCCTGGTTGCTGGTCGTCGCGGACAGGGAACATGCGGTTGGGTCGGAAGAATTTCTCTATGGCAGCATCGTTCATCTCCACAAACGCCCAGTCGCTGATTCTCTTGCCCAGTGTAGCCTTCCCAGAGGTGGCCGTCACCCTACCCATAAGGTGGGGCATGCTAGCGACATTCTGACGTTCACGACGATAGCCGGAGACAAGTGACTGGAATTCATTTACCCGGTTTCGAAGTTTTGTCGCAGATCCGCCACCCATTTCTCGCTTGCGTATTCTTTCAGACAGCATCTCGATTTGCTCGTCCATGGTTTTGATTTTATCGTCCAGATCAGATAAGGTGGATTGTGTGTCCAGACGGGAGAAACTCTCCATCTCGATATGATTCATTTCTGTTTGACGCATCCACGAACTTCCAAAACGATCCAAGTCACCGAGGGATTTGCCGGTAGCCCCTACTTTGGGGTCCAAGGGCCTGGTGACATGGTAACTGGTTAGGAAACCTTTCAAGACCTTGTCACCCTGCTTCAGCGTCACATACCCACCAAGTGTCCCCGAATTAGTATCACCACGGATACCAACGGAGGACCCCATGGCTGGCACATCCGCCCTGCCGGCAAAGGATGTTCCGCTTAGGAAACGGAGGTCACCAGGGAGAAACTCCACCTCAATAGTCTGAAATTGACAGTGTCCTGCGAGTAATGCCTTTATCTCCGTGTCCAAAACAGACCAATTGGCACGCGTGAGGGGATCCACGAGGATTACAATGGCTGGGCGGGCCTCTGCCTCCAACCGGCCGATGTTGAAAGGGCAGAGAAGTCTCCAGTTGTCTCCAAGTCTTGCTTGAAGGAGATCGATAATCCTTTGCTTGCCTTCTTCAAAGCCAACTACTAGGCCATGTTCGGGTGGCATGGGAAACAGGGATGGTTTAAAGCACAGATCGATGTTGACAATCTCCACGAACATGTCTGTAATGCCCCTTTCATTCAGAAGGCGAGCAAGGTCATCCTTCGCTGGGCCGAGGCGTCTGGGATGGTCATCGGCAGCCAGTAGAATGACGCGGAGCAGATTCACTGCTGTGTCGCCTCCCGGATAATGAGGCTTTTGCGCGACATACGGCAGAAAGGGGACGCGTTCATGAAATCCGTGTGCTTTCAGGATGGCGCTTATATCGTCTTTAATCGGTCGAAGAGTCTGCTGAAGCTCGCTGGAACTAGTCAACATCACTGGATACGGCCAGAAGTTCGGCAGATTTGTCGAGCGATAGGGGTCACAGCTCGTGAGATACTGTTCAATCTCCATCGTGCCCTCACTTTCTTCTGACTCCCGTAGAATAGATCGCCTCTTCCGAGGCGAACCTGGGGGCGATGGGGATCCAAATGATGGGTTTGGGTTGAAACGTGGATCCGACATGCTGAGGCCTGTTGCAGCAGGATAGTTGAGTTGGATATGGCGAGATAGGTGACAGCTGATGACAAGTCTAGAGAAGTAGAGAGAGAGCAAATGCAAGAAGTGTAGGCGATGAATTTACTGAGGATCGTAGAGGAAGTGTGGATCGTGTAGGCGGTTTAATAGCGACCAGTGAGCAAAAGGGAGACAGAAAAGTTGCTGAGAACGGGACAGAGACTGAGATAGAAGATAAACAGAGGAAAGTGAGAGTAAAGAGAGGGATAAAAGAAGAAGGAAAGCGAGAGTAGAATGACAGTGAATTTAGTAGGTGCAATGATGCTTTCATAGTATAGTAGACGACCGACCCCCGAAAGAGTATAGTCTGAGGGTGATGACTGATGACTGAATAGACTACTGCTGGTGAATAGTGATCTCTATTAATCTTCACAATCATACTTTGTGACCATTTAAGGCCTTGTCACTTCAGTTATGTAGAACAGGTGTAGTGGAATATCGTATCGTATATATGGAAGGAGTGCTCGTCACTGGGTACATCCGCTTCCCCGCCCACAAGGCATCACCCTCAACTGGCATAACTTTCCATGATATTCCTGGCCCTTACCCGTTCACTTCAGCTGCCAACATTAAGTTCCTTCCATATCTTCGAATTCCGCTCTCTAGCAATAGTCACGAACACAAGCAGCGTACTTGGCGCTGTAGCAGGCGGTATAGCAACTAGGGCTCGAAGTGCAAGACTTGGAGCAGGAGCTCGACGCCAGAGAGGCACAGTTGCTCTTACAGGAACCTGCAAAGGTACTGTCAGCTTTATGCTACCGATATAGAAGTCGACAAGGCAGTGACTGAGGTTGGCATGCTTACGTTCGACAAGTTCCGGTTCAGCAACAGGAGAAGCTGCAACAACGGCTGCAAGAGCGAGAGCAATCACGGCGGTGATCTTCATTTTGGCGAGAGATTGGACTTGTGTTTCTGAGGACTGAGCGTTCTTCTGCTGTATGCAATTTCGTAGATCTTGGAATGTTGTTGATGAAGACGTCTTTCCAGCTGGCTGTTGTGCTCCTTTTATATCTTTGGTCCAACGTCCTTGACTCCTGAGAAGGCGAGAGACGCTCATTGCTGACGGCAATCCGGGCCGATACTGAAGAGCAGAGATGGTGAGGATAAAGTAGGATAGTATGTGTTCCCACTCGGGATTCGCTATGCAAGCTCCTCACATGAGCGAATACGAGATATATACTTAGTATTAGCTTCACCTCTTGACTCCTCAAAGAAGTCTCGTATCCAGCGACTGAACGATATACGCCAAGGACGCTCTATGCCAAATCTATGACGGAACACAGCTGCATGCTCGTATTCACTGAGATATGACAATATACGCATGGACATCGCTGAATGGCTATCAGGTTGGACTCGGATAATCGAATCTGGAAGCAAATTAATTTGCCTAAACAAGAACTGAGAGAAGATACTGGCAATTGCGTTTCAACATTGATACGGACACCAGAGGCTGGCAGTGAGCCAGTGATACTCCAGAGCGCCACATCTCAGAAGCAGAGGCTACAGGAAAGATGATTTCTAACAACTATTCACGCAGACAAGGGTTAGACTCAGATGTGATACGGCTTGAGTGCCTCCGAATCATCGCAGCCAAGGGAGTAGGGTCCTGCGGCTTCACAAGAGCGCAATACTTCCGGATGCGACACTGCTTGGCGGTATGGTGGTGATGTTTGAGCGTAATCCCACGGTTGGGCAAGGTCCTTAGTTGCAGCTGTACTTGTAGTTTTGCCTGCGAGCGAGCCTTTCCTGAACTCATCGTAAGGTATCCTAGCGAGGAACCTGTAACATCCTCGCCTCCTTGTGTATCGTCTGCCACCTTGTCAGAGTCTAGCTGTGGCAGCTTGCCTTTGATTTTCTCTAACCCTGCCTTTTGACAGACTGAGAGGGGGCGGCGATCTGCTTCCTCTTAATCTCCTTGTTTTGCGCTGTGGTACCATCCCTTGGTCAATCGATTGCAGCTGCGTTTTGTAGTGTTGCCTCCTTATGTTGGACGTACTCTGCACAGTGGATGTCCCGGGTGCGCAGAGCTCGTCCTCAACCATTATGTAAATATCATGTTTACCAAACCCGTCAATCAAATATTCGTGTTTCGTAAATCAGCAAAAGCCCCAGTCGCCGGACCGATCAGCAGTGTGTACTTTTGATGAACATTACTGAGTCGGAGAGGTTGGACGTCTTGGCGCTGCGTAGCCTGATCAGAAACGACATTTTTACCTCAGGGAGCTTTCCTTTTACTTACATGACCAAAGGAAAAGTCACGGAGGAGTTTCCACTTGCAGATTTCAGTATGAGAAGAGATGCGGCATTCACACAATAGGGACCTGCCCATAGTGTAATGAATAGTCTTCAATTGAAGCCTTCCATAGATCGACCATAGCACGGGAGATTCATATGACTCATTCCCTTAGTTATAGCCGCAAGATAAAGTGCTTCTTAATTTCAAGTTCTTCCTCAACTTCGTCCGGATCATGATCTCAAAGGTAGGATCTTGCGTTGATGCTTCAGAGACGGAACGATAGGCTAGCTCGAGGCTCTTGGGTGATAGGGAGAAGTAAGGAGTCGTGAACCGAAACATTCTATTCACATATCAATAATGTGTCGAAAGGAGTCACTAACGCGAAGACTTACCACCATTGTCGTTTTGAATGACCCACGCTTAGGCCCAGTCTGAGTGTCCTCATCCGACGCGTATAAACAGCGGGCCAAAGTCTGGGACATCCATATGTTCTCACGCCAGCCCAATACAACTGTTAGCACCACAGACGTCGTGAGAGTAAAGGGACAGTGTGACGGGCAATCCAGACGTACAAACAATACGGCTATTGACACGAAATACTAAGCATGAGAATAGAACAAGGGTATGTACACCGCAAACAAGAGAAACCTGGCATGACGTAGTGGTAGCACCTCGGTGGCGCCACGGAGATGGTTGGATTAATATCCAGTAGCGCACTGTGCGGTGCAATGTGTGCATCTCGCTAGGCTGGGTGCCGACAGAGCAGTAGGATGACCCTACGAGCTGGTGCACTGAGCAACGGGTCAGTCAAGGCAGAATCCTCGAGGGAGATTTGGTGACGGCTCGACCGTCACAGACTGGAGAGAAGAGCATACAGATTGCTAACACTGAACTACGCACATTCTCCAAAGGCAGATACAACTGTGTGTGATTGCTAAAGGAATGGTTATTCAGTATACTGAGTGGCATAATCAACGTTGTCAGGTCCATAAGAACTAGACTGGATATCATGAGTTCGCGGCTTAAAGCAGCGGACAAATGACACAACAATAAGGTATTGGCGTGGTCTCGCATTAAACAGCTCCTTTGATATATAGGAGGCGAAGTATCATATCAAGTAGCCGTATAAACCCGCTGCATACAAAGTGGGATGATAGGACTATAGTCTGTCTAATGTCAGGATAATTTCGAAGTATCACTAGGTTTGGCAATCATCAACGCTCCATCGCTATTCTACTCGACCCAGAGAAATAGAGCTTGTGCTTGTAGGAAGGCATTTTCAACTTGAGCCATTACTTCTACTCTTAACATGTGTTCTGGAGTTTGGATTACTCGCCTACAAGTGGTTCCGCTGAGTGTCCTCAGGAAAAGCCCACTATCCCTCCAACACAGAGAGAAAGCATGAACCAGTTCTTAGCTCCCAACTTGTTCGGACGGGCATGAATCGCTCGATTCACCTTGCATTGATACCTAGCTGAATGCCTGAAGACCCCTGGTAGAATCCCTCTAGCCAATTGTGCATCGCCATCAGCGTGAAGAGGCAGTCCTAGTCAGAGCGTCCTATCCTAGACACTAGTACATGGCATAACTCGCTCATAGTCCTCGAAAGAAAGGAACAGTTGGCTTGTGAGGTACTCACATCGACCCTAGACCTCTCCCGCCTCGCAAAAGAGGTAGACAGCACGCTTTAGTTGAATCCCAGACATGCATAGCAAAATTTCCAAGCCGACTTCTCTTCTCCGGAGCAAATGTGTGCGCTAATATCCTGCAATTCCGAATACTTCATACCTAACACCATAATGACCCGGCATGCATGTTTAGTCTGACGATGGGTACGATGCGTCACTGTTCAATGTAGGCGTGTCTAATGAATCCCATTCTTGACATCTCCAGGGGGCAAGCAGGAGGGGGCAAACAGTGCAATGCAGATCCAGACAACCTCTCAGAAGCAATATTTGAGCATCAGCAAGGCACACTGTTCAAAAGAACTTTTCAGCAGGAAAAAGCATAGTCATGCATGGCAGGACTTCCATGTCCTAAGTGTGGGATGCAGAATATTATCCCAGATGAAGGGTTCTAAATCCTGCTGACAGTGCAGATCGTGTCTAATAAGCGATGAATGATATCAGGCACAAATGGGATGCTTACTCGGTCCGGTTCTAGATGAATCTGGACCTTGACTCTGCGCGTTATCAGGGCAGACCCTGCATATCTGACATTATCCAAGCGGCATGGACGGACCTTATCCGACGACTATGACAGGGCTTTCCCACCGGAAGGATAGATATATCCCGATTGGGTTTGCTTTCGTAACTGAGCTTCAGTTTGCATAAACTGATTGCATGGTCATGCAGCTGACCATGAATGTTATCCTCCGTGTACCAAACAATTACCTTGAGTACCGCAATCCATACCGGCTGTCATTCGGTTCCTGCCAATCCAGAGCTGCAGGCCATCCACAGGGGTAACTGATGCAAGAGACCAATTATGGATTTTCGTTGATATCGAAACCATGACAGATAATCCTGCATCATGCAAGCAGAGGAGACGCTGTGCTGGACCTTCGGTCGACCAGTACAGAGGTTCCGCTGATCCAGGTATGCTGTCATAGATATCTTAACCAAAGAGCAACATTCCAATTTCAACCGACGAATTTCGAACCGAGCCACGAGGCGCATGGAACACGTCAAGATATTGAGACTGGAGATAGGCTGATAGGGCTGACCAGCATACAGGCTCCCTACAAACTGATATTTTGGCCCGCAGGCCGCCGCTGGCCTGCGCTCAGCTCGTCAAGATGCGTAGTAGGAAGGAAGCTAGGGCCTGAATTTCGGACGCATGGCGATGGCTGAAGATCTGCGGTGGTTTATGAGCTCAAGCCACTTTAGAACCGTAACAGTTGCTGCACTTCAGACTCGGAGGAATGGCCCTTCGATGATCCGCATTTCAAAGCCGCCCACATGGCTTGGCCAGGACCACTTGACGCAATCGTAGGACAGACACAAAGGCCAAGGCTGCATGCACTCTCAATTGGATCATGAAACGGCCGACATAATATATTGCACTTGACAGGGACACCCCCGGGCAGTATGTGACATGGCTCCCTGGGCATGCGATATTGTCTTGGGCTAGCTTCTCATTCCATCAGATCAGACTGTTGCCACAACCACTTAAGGTGTCCAGGACGAGGTCTTTGGCTGACCCTCTCCGGGTACCCTGGGCCTATTGAGGCGAGACGCATTGAATCGTTGAGAAAATAACATGCGTGATTGTAATCACAGTGTTTTGCCTTTTGGAGCCATAAATTGTCAGGTTGTCAAGACACCCTTGCTTAGCACGCAGCACTTTTGAATTCATATCCGGTCCCCTGTTTAATGTTTGACGACTGGCAAACTGGCCGGCCTTCCTTGCTATCCGCCTGCAGATGCGGATGGCTTTGAGGATGCAAGGGGCAAGAAGGCATGCGTGCTGGTTCGCGTTCATCTGGTGGAGAATAGGAGCCTGTACCTTGACCAAGAATGGACAAATCGAGTTGCTACGATAGTTCAAGTTTGATGTCAAGGTCCTCGACTAGAATGACTCCGGTCAAGTACGTTCGGGCCGAATAATCGCGAATCCATTCACCGTAGCAATGACCTGATCACATATCC